CATTGATGGACCACATCATGCTTGTCCTTTGCATGCTCTTGCACAACTCTGTACCCATAGATGGCCGCATGCCCCCAAATAGGGTCTGAACAGACATCTTTCAGCATTGCCTTGAATTTGCTCAAGGGGTTGTCATAGAAGGACTGGAAGGTGTCTTTGGTTGTCAGTCGTGCGTCACACTCCAAGACCAATTCACAAACTGCAGCCAACGTGAGAGTAATGGAAGGGGTCGGTAGCGAAAAGTGGACATCGGGAGTGACAACAAGCAAATGCACCTGTCGCTTATATTCTTGATTCAATGCAGGGTCAAAGACAATGACTTCGAAGGGCCCAGACAGATTGGGCAATTTGGCCAGCGAGTCGGTGGGATCAATGAGCGGCAATAGGAGGGCGCACGCCTCTTTGGGTTTGACTTCCATGATCTACTGTATGTTGCCTTTGGAGACAAAGGCAATACCACCTCGGTTGGTGGACAGTTGCTGCTTCTGCACAAAGGGCACAGGTGTCTTGTCTTTGGCGACAAAGGGGTGGTCCGATTGCAGCTGTAGGTCCTCCCACTTGCTCTGCTTGGCTTGCTTTTTCTTTGACTTCCACGGGTCGTCAAGTTGCCACGGATCAGGAGCCTGCATTGCGGCATCGGTTTGGGCCAAGGCTTCCATACCGCCAAGGGAGACAGCAGAGCAGGTTTGCATAACCTGCAAACCACCGACCAGCAGGAAGGTTCGGCGCACATTGTCAGCGTAGGTCCTCAACATTGGTGGCGCACCAGCAGCTCTCCAGGCAATGTCTGATTCACCAAGGATAAGATCCACCACCTGCCTTTTCTGTTGCGGTATATGAAAGTCAGCTGGGACTGTGAGATCCGCAACCACCCACCGATGAAGGAGCTCTCAACCGCACATTCCGGGTCTTGTCCTGGTGGTGTCGACAATGATGATGGGTCGGAACCCAAAGGGAACGACAAAATCATTAGCAAAGTCAGTCCAGAATTGTTGGTCACGAACAGGAACTTGGAGAAAGACAACTCTGCAGGCGTGTTCCCTGGCATTGCACACAACTTCAATACCGACCCAATGCCCTTGACGAAGAGCTCCGGCATGAAAAAGGAAAGCGTAAACTCAATCTCATCACTGGTGGCCCACCCAGGGTGAGTCCGATAGATGTTGGCCCGCATGTCTAACCATTCATCAGCAACAAAGAAGATCTCATTGATGTTGTAAACATGCATGGGTCTCCCTGTCGATCGAAGGGTCAAGTCTGCAGCCCTGCTGGGGGATTCCATGATAGCAACCAAAAAGGCATTACGACTGGCACGAGCAAATTGCAGCATGCGGTCATCTGTTTGAGTATCACGCCAAATGAAGTCAGCTTGATCAATGGCCTGCATAACATGCTCGCAATATTGGGCCCTCTGCAATCTTTGCGTAGTCCGATGTGTTGCAGGAAGCAAAGGCGCACCTGCTCGGGCATAGAAGGTCCGTAGTGTGTACCACGGCGCAAGTTCTGAGTCCTCAGCAGTACGGATCCACCTGAAGTTGTTGGGAGGAACTTGGATTCCCATGACATTGATCAATTCCAGCACTGCTGTGCGTTGCCGCTGAGTCAACTGTTCCGAGGAATGATACAAGATTCTCCACTGGCCTTTGAAGAAACGGGCTTCGACAAAGATCCAATCAAAGACCACAAGAATTGGTACCATAAAATGTTGGAAACAAAGCTGAAGATCTGCTGGTTCAACAGGAAACCGGAACTGAGCTTCATTGCTTACCCAAAGTGCAGGTGGGCACCAGCAAATTGTAGGCATCAGAACTTGCAAAATATCACAGTGAAAGAGCATTTCATCAACAGCCAGGGCTCCGGGCTCAAGGTTGAGCTGCAGCAACCTAGCCATGGTTGGGTCCTCAAGGACATTGCAGCTAGGATTCGTCGTGAGATGGTCCATACCGCCAAGAACAACAGATGTAGTACCACCTGGTCGATCATCACCCCACAAGACATCGCCATTGATGAGCATGAGAGGTTGGTCCAAGCAACAGGGCACTGAGTTCCTGATAGTGATAGTGCATTGCTGCTGCAAGAGTGATGCACACTGCCGAGGAGACACAGTACGCGGAACTTGACAGATTTTCAACCACTTAGCATCACGACCACCACCCAAGATCACCCACTTGCCAGGGCAGACAGGTTCGTAGACCCCTTGAATACCCATCACGACTGGGAACCCAATGAGGGTTCTGCACGCTTCCGAGTTGGCTTTGATGAAATGCATCGACCCATCATGATACCGAAACCCAGGAATACTCCCAAGACGTTCGACATTTGCCTGCTGAATCCAATAAAAGGTGCCGTCCTGAAGCAAGAAAAGAATCTTCGCACTGGATCGAGGCGTCTCATCTTGGCACACGTACTCAGCAACATGAAGGAACCCTGCCCTTGCTGCATCGACAATACCATCAAATTCAGGATCATGTTCATGCTCACACCAGGGTTGAGTCGGTGAGAGGATCGGATCATCAGTCACTGGGGCAGAGCCAAGATGGGTGACCTGCACCGATCCAATCTGGAAGGCACCACACTTCAACATCAACGTGCCGGCAGGGAGTTGAGTACAAACACATGCTGGAGGGACAACAGATCCGTCATGCACCAGCTTGATCAAGTAGAGGAGATGACCATCAAGTTCCAGTGCTCTGAGCAAGGTCTGGAGGGCAGCTTCATCGTTAGGTTGATCCATCGGCACAAGTATCATGTCGTCACAAAACCTGATCAAAGTGCTCCCAACCAGCCAAGGTTGCCATGTAGCAACACTGGGGATAGCCTTTGCCACCATATCCGCAAGAGGTTGCATAACATACATGCCATTGCAACAGCGAACCATGGCATTCTCATTTGTAAGTCGATCGTTCCAGCATTGCTGAATGAGAGCCAGCTTAGGAAAAACCTCTCCAGAGACTCCTTCCATTGCCACAAGAATACCAGCCAAAGCATGGAGCTGAGAAATAGCGTTCCCCAACTGATGAAAGGCCTTTCGGAGGTCAGCAGGCAGAGCAAGTGTAGCGGTCGTGCCAAACAAAGATGCAAAAAGAAAGGGGTCAACAAGACTAAAATCGTCCTGCCATCTCGTGAGGGTGGCAAAAATCCCTTTAGCTTGAACATGCTCGAGCTGCAACAGGTGTTGCGCCGTGTACGAAGCACAAAGGGTGGGCAGGTACTCACAGGTTGGAAGTACCCTCTGCATCAAAACCTGATGGGCGGAAGCCCCTTCGACGATTCTGGCTTTCTTACCTGGTGGAAGCAGGTTTCTGTCCCCGTAAATCTGCATCTGGTCAGCAGTCAACTTAAGGGCCTCGGTAAGCGAAGCAGGCAATTCAAAAAGGTGCTTGGGGTCGTCCCACGGCAACCTCCGATGGGATGAAAGCTGGAGGCGTTCACTGATCTTCTTGGATTCAACATCACTTCGACACCAAACCGCCAACCACCTGGTACGAAAGTTACTGGTGATCTGGTGGATTGCCACGTCTTGAGACCAAACACGTCGAAAGCCTGCCAATTGCATAGCGGCCGAAATCACCCGCCAATGAGGATGATTCTCCATGCCATCAGAACACTCAAAAATGGCAAGGACAGGGCGGACTCGGCAAAGGTGCTCAACAGCATCCAAAAAGCAGAAGCCCTCATCTGAGGCAAGTCCTGATTGTTTGCCTCCCCTGCTCCAGCTCGGACAAGGCGGAGACAACGTCATCAACAAGTTGGATTTGTGAGCCGTGGCCCTCAACAAGGTCACCTCGCTGACATCCGCCAGAATACCATTGTAAGCGGACACTGGATTGTAGTCAACAGGAACTGGAGCTCGAAGCACCTCCCGCTGGTGGTTGTAACTCCATGTCTTCATCACTTCAGGACACCAGTCAACCGAGGTATGCGAGGCAAACACGAATCCCATATTGGTGTTTTGAAGCCACCACATCGCTCGAAGCCAGCCTTCATACGCACCAGCAAAAAGGTGTGAAACTTGCCAAGCCAAACTTCGGTCATGCCTGGATATGTTCCAGACAGGAACTGCCGCATCAGCCAAGATCCGGTGGTCACTCAGGCGGTTGGCCGGAGAAGCAAGGACGCCCACCAGCACACCAGGCGAGAAATCAACTCTTGTATGGGTCACCGGACAAAGGATGTCAAAGGAGTCCCAAGAACCTGCTTGAATCACCTCATCAGCCATGAGCATCGAAGTGCGACGGAGATGTACACACATGGTCGGTCCATGATGAACATCACACACCTCTCCAAACAGCACCCAATCTTCATCATTGCTTCTGCACTGTCCGGTCGAGGCAATGCCCCTCAAAGCAGCACTGACAGTAGATGCCAGGGCGGAAGGCATGCCAAATGTAGCCCATTGCAACAAACTTTCAACAGCAAACTTCCCATGTTCATGCCCTGCATCCAACGTCACCATGGCGTTCCGTGGCTTGGTGAAGCCAACGGTCTGTAGACGTGTCACTTCCGACCGAGCAGCCGGACAGCAACACCCCGGCCCACGCCGAAGGGGGCGTAAGCCAAAGGGCTTGAACCCAGATGGCTGGGGGGAGCTTCCTTGAAGAAACGCTCACACTCATGCTTTGGTCCTAGACTTTGAGGAACTTAATAAACGTAAAAAAGTTATCGTGGTTTCTTTCGAGGTGAGAGCTCGGAACTCGTTGAAACGTCCTTTGAAACATGACATCACTCGTTTGGTCCTCGAACCAGGAGTTCAAGGGCTTCAAGCACGGATACCCGATGCCATCTTTCGTCCAAATGCCCGGCACCAAGTTATTCAGCTCGGCGTTGAACATATCATCAAGCTCTCCGGTCATCACCTTGGTCAAAACCACCGGCGACCCTCTTGGTGTGGCCCAGCTTCTCTCTTTTTCGCTGCATGGCTTGTGGATGCTATTCTGGGTCGGGTCAAATCCAAGAGTTCAATGTGTTCGTTCTTCTGAATCTGCCCCTTTTCAATCGGACTAGAACTCACGAGAGGTGTCATATGCATCGATGTCATACCCACTCGCAGCCCGAGGTGCAATGATGCCCTTCACTGCCTGACGTCAGGCTCCCAGCTCGGTCAGTTTTGTCAGAAGCCCAGGAACGCATCGTTGCAAGAAACATGAGGAACAAAGGGACCTGCTAGATCCTTCAGCTTAACATGTTGGACCCCTTTCTCCGAAGTTGGGCTGGTTTCTCACTGTTTTCATGGTGTGGCGGAACGACAGGCGGCCTTTTGGAGCTGCTTCAGGGTCAAGCTCATCTGAGACAATAAGCGATTGAAGCGCGACATCTCCTGCGCGATCCACTTTGCTTGCATGAATTCTGATCTGTATACAGTACAAGAAAATGATCAACACATATCAAAACGTTAATAAACACATGGAAGCAAAGCTTCGCAAGCAAGATGCAAAGAAAGCTGCATCCTGCCTGGGAGAGACAGGTTCCCAAAGAGGTCATCAGACCAGTCTCCTGACAAAGGGGAGAACGAAGAACTATGTCCGTAAGCCACAGTGTGCCCGAGACTACTGGCCAGTCTGCGACCCATTATCCAACGTAATTATTCTAGTCTATTCTACTTCTACATGTCTGTACGATTCTGTATGTCCACGGTATATTTCTTTCCATGGAACTACTTCAAATAACCCCAAACTAATTATGGTGAGAGCTGTCAGATGCCTCACTCATGGCGAAGCTGTCAGCATGCGCATTCTCAGTGCTCAGCTTGTCAGGTAGTCTTAGCCTGAAGATTTCGATCACTGCTGGTTGTTTGTGTACCACAAAGGGGTACATGGGGCATAGGCCGGCATAGGATATCATGGAATGGCACCCTAGTTATTCTTGAGCCGCAGCCATATGTCTCTCTGCTTCCGTTCTTCATGATTCATTCTGGTCAACACATTGCTCATCTCACTACCCACATCCCTGCACAGGCTGATTGCCTGGACACCACTGGACAGACTGTTTTCGCATGAGTCCACGTGTTGTCGTTGCGCTTCGCTTGGATCCAGGCTCTTGGTCGCTGGCGATTTCCAACACCATCTCCTCCGAGCTCTTCCCTCCACTACCACCTGCCTGACCGAAACCGGTCGATGCCGACCATCTGTCGATGACAGGACCCATGGACGGGGGGCATGCAGTTCTAGCAGTGTCATTGGATGGAAGAAAGGGTCCTCATCCACTAGCCGCCGATCTACAGCAGCCAACTATGATCTACAATGGTCTGAGAAAGGACATTGCTGAAGACGGGCGCAAGGACATTGGCACCACCCAGGATTGCTGGTGGAATTGTTGAGACGACAAGCACGATGTTCACCATCTTTGGATAGGCAACATCCTATTCTGCCATTTTTCCTGTGGGTGATGAATATTTAGTTTGCAGATGTTTGCAGGCTGTTTTCTTGGTGTTCTACAAGCATACATGCTACTGACCCACAATCATCCACAATCAACCTCGCAAATGGAACATTGAAAAATAGATTCTTCGACCCTCTGCCATCCTCTGCCCTTCTCCTGCTGACCCCTCTGTACTCCATCCGCTGACGGTCCACACCTCGCGTGGCTGGATGGAGAGGACGACACTCAGCACCTTCTCAGCTTCCTGACCTGGGAGGCGTCGTTCGTCGCCGCAAAGAAAACGGGGAGGGCTGGATCGGAAGATACTGGAAGTCATGAGTGCTTGACCCACACATGCGTGAAGAACGGCTGTAATGTGATTGCGATCAAGTAAGACTCGAATTGTCATCCAAATGTCTTCACCTCCCTTTGGTCTTTCTTGCGCCTTAATGTACAGCAGGATGGAAAAGCAACATCGAGTTGCTTTGCAAGTCAATGAGACTGTTTGGATGAACAGGACACTTGGTCCGAAGTATAGAGATGTAAGACGTTTGGTCCGAAATCAGAAACCACGAACTCGACGCTTTGGAGAAAGCTGGCCGCCGACAGACAGAAAGAGCGCTGGGCAACGGACTCATGAAGCTAATGTTGGCATTGTCGTGCATGCCAAAGACCTGTTTTTGTTCTTCTGATTTTTTCTCTGAAAGCCACGCAATCCAACACAAAACGTGAGAATCTGACCAAACCCCCAACGAAGTGTGAACTTCAGAGAGATGGATCCTCGACGGTGGCTGCAAGTGACTTGGTTTCGAGATGGCATTGGATGGGTCAACTCTACCTTCCAGCTTGCCTTGCGGGTTGGTAGAGAAAACGGCTAGTCTGACGGCAGAATCTCTCACGATGTCACTATGTACAGGGGTCATGTCGGCTAGACACAACTTCCTATGCGTTCTGTTCAACATCCGACCTATATTATATATAATATATAATATATTATAATATCCAAAACCTGGCAGGTTTGACAAACCATCCGTGTTTCTCCAAAGGGTCCTTGCACCAACCTCACAACATCCCCTTTCGCTTAACCCTTTTTGGTCAAGTACGTCTTGGTCTTCAGCAGACAACAGTGTGTCTTTGGAACTGCAACCGCTGTCTTCTTAGCACCGATCCGAATCGATCATTCGACCTTCGCGCAAAAAGCCAAGAACGAAGCCGACGCCGAAGCACCTCTGGCTGCTCCGTGATTGGGAAGCTCGCTACCTCCAATGTCCAAAGATCAACAAGATTCTGAATGTTACAGTATATTACTAGATTCATCTATATTCAACAAAAGGAAAAATGAAACAAAACAAACACATCATATCCCATCTCCAAACTTTTCCAAAGCTCTGTTTCTTGTCATGTAACTCGCATGAACATCAGTCCGTCAGTCTGAGGCGACGGACGAACTTTCGGAACTGCTCAATGTCTGCGACGTCTGAATTGTCCGGACACCTGGCATGGATGCGTCGAAAGAAAACCATCGGAGTCGGGAAACCTGGACACATTAATCGACTGAAGTCACCAGGTCATGTCGACCTGATTTTCATCTACCATGAAGACTTGGACGCCTTGTGGCTGATCATGCTTGAACCACATGGGCACATGGCGGATACTTGGTTGGTGGCCAAGTCATCCAAAGGAACACGAAGCTCTTGAGGAGTTGGAATTTCCTGTGCAGTGCAGTGCCTGTATGTGCCACTGTCTGAGAATTTGTAGTCAGGCTCCAGGATCTTTGGCGTGACATACTTTTCCAAGATGGCCAACAAACATTTCCTCCAAGCCACAGCAGAACTCTCAGTACCATTGGGCACCCACAAAAGCGAGCAACCAAAACATGATCCATGTCGTGGGGTATCAAAGTGATGGACGCAAAGTGTGGCCAGCGACCGTTGGACGCAGAGTGTGTCCTGTCGTTGTCGTCTGTCACGCGGCCACCATAGTTGATGTGGCCAATCACAAAGAGCAGGGTATCCCATGGAATTGCTCCATCCAATTCCTGACAGCAGGTAATTTCCATGAACATTCTCGATGAATGATCCGAAGCCAAGCTCATTTTCGCACGCAAGTATTGGCAAAATGGTCCAACGAATGGTGATTAGGCAAACTATAGTCCGGGAAGCAACAGCACCCTCCCCTGGCTGTAATTTGCATGCAGCATGTATCAGCATGTCCTATATATGCATGTCATTGATTCGTATGTTCTCCTAGGTTCTCCTACAATGATCTCACAGATGCACCAATCGGAACCATAATTCATAAGAATAAGAACAAGAACAAGAACGGCAAGCGCACAAGCAACACCAAGAACAAGAACCAGAAGAACAAACAAAATAACAACAAGCCGCAAAAACAATAACGAACGTGCTGAGGTCAGTACAGTCCAGCCAAGATTCCAACATGTTGTGGGTGATCGTCGTGGATGTTTCCAAATCCGAGTCGTTAAACTCGTATCCTCGGGAGGTGACGCGTTATGCGCAGGAGTTGACGCGTGATCACTGCTCGGGTTCCTCGCGTACCAAAACCTGGCTGCCTATGAAACAAGAGCACTACGGAATACGCCATATACACCTAAGTTGTGCTCGTTGAAGACCAGCCGTTTTTCAGTCCAGATGTGCAGGACAGATTTCTTGATACATCTTGATACAAACTAATGTGGACAAGCTAGGAGGGCCATTGGTTCACCATGGTTCACCTTCTCAAAAAGAATAACATGTTCAAGGGACATATCTCCTCAGTGGTTCTCCCAGTGGATGATGGGGATTTACGGGGATTTACATCAATCTCCTCCAGAACGCTCTGCAGAACAGAAGAAGGTCTTCCGTCGACGAAAACCGACTCAAGGACAGGATTTTTGGACCAAAACAGACTGTTCCGACTCAAGTCAGGCACTTCAAATGGGTGTTCTGGACGCCCTCTCCCACTCTGCGTCAGACTCAAGGACAGGATTTGTTCATCGCCCAGTGGCTGATGTTCCATCCCAAGGGACCGAACTTCCGCCGCTCCTGAATCACCGCATGGAAGAACTTCAAGCCTCGACCGGATCCGATTCAGCAACCGAGGGGCCACCAGGACTTGGAGACATGGAGTGAATGTGTTTGTCGATACTAGCTTCTTGTTACTACTAGTAAGGCACTTGTTACTACTAGCAAGGCACTTGTTACTGCTAGTAAGGCACTTGTTACTACTAGTCTTAAGGCACTTGTTACTACTAGTCTTAAGGCACTTGTTACTAGTAGCGATGCACTTGTTTCTACTGTGGTTGTTGATGTTGTTTGTTGTATTGCTGGGTGCCACACCAAATTGGAGTCGCCGCCACTCTTTTGTTTTCGCGCTGTCGTTGAGCTGGCACGCAAGGCAAAAGGAGAGCTTGCAGTTATTCAAAGAGACAACCAGGTCCAAAGCATACACTGCATTAACAAGAACTCGCCGAAACATTGCAACGATTTGTTTTCACATACTTTCACAATCCATATCTAAGGGTTTGTTCGCGAGCACAGACTCCCTGAGAGCTCAGCAGCAACGTCAAAAGTCCATATCTAAGTACAAGTATGCATCTAAATTACCAAACCTACCAAAAGACCTCTAGGCAATGATTATTTTATAGATCTTGCTTCTTGATGGTCTGTTTGTCCTGTTCGCTCAATAACTCTGCATGATGGTGCTGGCCGTGGGTCTACAACCCGTTTGAACCAAATACAAAATGCCATCATTATCATCATTCCATAACAGTTTCTGCTTATCCAAGCAGATGTGCAAAGCATCTCCACCTCGTCAACCTGCGCTAGCAAGCTTCTGCGCATTTCTGCGCGTCTTGGTCCGAATTGGTGTCCTCTGAACCACACCTGCTCATCGGACATAGGGAGGAAGGAGCGCATGACATTGGCCCGAAGTCCCTTGGGCGGCTCCGTGGTCAGCTTGATGCCGTTCTGCAGCACAGGCACGGGGAAGTACGCCGCCGGCCTTGCAAACGGAACAACGGCAGTGACTCCGGAACAACGGCAGGCGACTGGTTTGAGAGCTTCTGGGATGCTGTGGGGTTGCTGACTGGCTTCATGTGTTTGAAACACCATGAAACAAATTGAAACAACTCTGAAATTTATGCCAGCATCGACCCCAACAGGTTCAGCATTATTTTCTCCTTGAATTCCAGTGTCGGTGGCTTAACGTCTGTAAATAACTGATATATATATATATATAGTGATATTCCTGTCGCTTCCAGCTGTTTGGGAATTGCACTTTTTGAAAACAGTAGTGCCTGATTCCCGGGTCATCACACGTGCAAAAACGACCGGATAGATGTCATGAGAAAATCCGAGGATATCACACTGTTGCATTTCATAGCCACACAAAAACATACCCGGACAAAGCGGTGGAGAAAGGCAACCCGGTGTGCACGCAGAGGACAAGGCCTGGACGACACCGCAGGGCCCACAGCGGACCAGGCGGACGCCGACAAGGCAGAAAAGAACTGCGGCGCCAAAGCTATGGCCAGCCATTTCTTTCTGAAACTGTTCGGGGAACAAGAGGACACAGAGGACACAGCGTTCGCAAGCATTGCCAGAGGACACAAAGTACGCAAGCCTGGCTAGAGGGCAGCAGGAGGAAAAGAGAAGGACACAGGGGTTTGCCACCACCAAAGGAGGGTTCGTCAGCGCAGCCAGAGGACAACAGGAGGACAACTGGACGACAAGAAGAGGAGGACAGGAGGACAGCACTCGGACACAGGGTTCACGCGCAGCCAGAGACTGTGGCCAATGTGTCTGTTTTTAATTCGTTTCCGAAGAGAGAACCCAACAGTATACTGTGCATGTTTTTGAAAAAGAACGTGCTGGGATTGGAGAGATGTTTGGGTTGGAAAGAGACCATCCACGGATTCTATGAAGGCAAACATCGCAGCACAAAGGCTCAGTTTGCAGTGTGTCAACCTCGAAATGCATCAAAGACTGGTCATCATGAGTCATGAGGATGTGGAGTTCTCTCTTTGCTTCAGAGACTTCAAAGACCTATATGTTATGTGGCTATGCGATTGATGCAAACATAGTGGGTCGTGGAAGTCCGAGGTCCAAGATCCCGGCATACTTGTAAGGAAAAGACGGAAGTCCTTGTGCGTCATCGAAGGCCTCGATGGTCAATTCTGAAGGGTGACGGCGCATGGTCTGACGATTGTATTTTGTTGCAGAGTCAAGTCTTGTGCGCTTTTCTGGTGTCACTTCAATCCAAGAGCGACATGGCGAAAGGGCACCCTGCAAACAAATGGGTGATTCGCCCTGCATTGCGCCCTTTCAACCTTCTCTCAGCTCTCACGGCCAACAAGGCCCAAACAGCGATGAAATCAAGAAAAACCAGTGTCTATCTTATTCAATCTCATGATCTGACTTCACTGTGTGCATATTTGACATATGCAAAAACATATGCAAAAACATGACACACACTATAATTCGCTATATATATATATATATTATATGTGTATTTAATATTTATCCGGTTTGGATCCACTCACTCACCGACGAAGTCGACGCACCAACAGCGCTGCCATCAACCATCAGCTGCTCAGCTGCCGACTCTTCCAGCTCTTCGCACATCTTTTCCAGCTCTGGCATGAAGGTCCTCGGTGCGGTCTCCGTTTCCGCTACTAGGAACAAGTGCATCGCTAGTAGTAACAAGTGCCTTACTAGTACTAACAAGAAGCTAGTAGTAACAAGTGCCACGCTAGTCGTAACAAGTGCCTTACTAGTAGTAACAAGAAGCGAACGTAGAAACAAGTGCATCGCTAGTAGTAACAAGTGCCTTACTAGTAGTAACAAGAAGCGAACGTAGAAACAAGTGCATCGCTAGTAGTAACAAGTGCCTTACTAGTACTAACAAGAAGC